TTTTTTTGAAAGGGGCCCATAGATAGGGCCCTAAATAAAAATGTTTTTAAATTGTGTACCAGGTTTAACATTGAATATTATTTATGATTTTAACTTTATACACAAGTGCCAAAATACTATAATTATTAGTGTTTAATTTTTGTTTTTTTCATCAAACAATATTAAGTATGTAATTCTATTTGCAGAATTGTTAGAATGGTCCTAATCCTTTACATATGCGTGAAATGGATAGCAAGGACCAGTGCAAAGTAGATGGTTGCTGCGCATGTGTATTATGTTGAGTGATTGGTTCTTTGTTCACCTGATAACCAATGAAATGAGCTATCACATACAATCAAGCTTTTGCTACAATATAGTAATGATGTATATAGGGGTTTGGTATCTGACCATCCATCAACATCAGAACAACCCTAACTGACAAAAGATCAAGGTGCTGCAAAGTATGATACCGAGTTAAATCCAGAATGGACAAAGAAGTACCCGTGCATCATTCCTGAATTATCCAGTAAGAATTATTCTAGATGCTAACTCAAACTCTAAAAATGCAAAATTAATTTTTTGGTGGTGGTGGTGGGGGGGGAGGTTAGACCCCTTGGGCACCCCACCAAGGTTTTGCCCTGGACCCTGTTTTTTTATATTTTTTCATGGGGATTTGTGGTTGATAGCTATGTATTATCAAACAAATTTCCAACTGATAAACCAATAATTTCATTACTAATTGGTAAGTTACATTTTGACCTGATTCTTCAGCATCAATTCCATTAGTGCTGTAAGCGTGAGCACCTCAGAAATGTATGGATGTAAATGGTGTTGAGTACCCTGAAGCTGTGCGGAAAAATACACCCAGCAGCACCATCTTCTGGAAAAGTTGGCACTTATGACCTGATTTATGTAACATATAATAATGGTTTCTAAAAACTGAAGTGTAGAATTGCTATTTTATACAAGTTTAATATTAGAAGTTTAGTTACGCTGTTAAATGTAAGGTTTGAATTAAGTGTAAACATGTAGCTTATATATATATTCATGGTTAGATTTAGTGTTAAACACTAAAATATCTAATGTGTAATTTTCAATGTTTTGTATAGTACATTAGGGCAGAATCATTTCTACATCATTGATGTATGTTTAGCAGTTGCATTGATTTAATAGAATGTACAGGATGTAACAGAAATGTTGCTTACAACTTTATCCAAGGTGTATGTTTAATAATTAACAACGTGACTGATAATAACACTCTGTCTTGTCACTTTTTTTGTCATAGTTGAAGGTCTGTACTTATCTGTAATAACGTTAGTGATACTCTATTCTGAAATGGACCAGAGTATCATTCAAGAAGGTAGAACTTGTAATTAATTATGTGTACTGCTGGGGAAACATTTCTTGAAGTTCATGTAACCACACAAGAGATGACGGTGACACCTAGGGTTAGAAAGTTTATTATTCTTGTAATATGATGAATGATTTGTTTTATACTGCTAACATATTTTTGTATTTATTTATTTGTGTCTCACAATGTTGTTTTATATATATCTGAAGATGTCATTGTTATTCGACCTTATGCCTCAGTTTCTGATCTATTGAATTTGGTCAGTCACGATGCTCTTTATTTCAGTTCACTAAAGGGACCTGAAGATTGCTGTGCAAAACATTTAGTTAACATAACAGTTCATTTATCGCACCTTTCTCACCTGGATGATAAATTAGCTTCTTCGTATGTCACCAACATGTAATCATTTTTAATTATTTCCTCCATTTAATCATGATGTTGGTTATCATCTTCACTCTTCAATCACATCTGAACAATCCTTGCATTATTGAACACCTCCTTTCCATTCTGATCAGTTAGGTTTGTAGCTCTCGTCTGAGGAAGACAATGTTTCTTGTGTGGGATGGTGTCTGATTGAGGGATTGAAATGTTTTCTTTCATATGATACTGGCACGCTGTTGTTACGCATATTATCATATTATTACACAATTATTACATTACTCAATGTGTCGTTTATTAAGGTAGTCAAGGCTGTTGGGAATGATCTACATGCCATGTTACAGTTACAGAGTGAAATTATCACAGCTATTAATGGGATTAAAAAAAAAAACATCTTCAAATGTCTCTGATGAAAGAATGTTTAGTATTACTGTATTTTTATTATTTATTAAAACTTTTAATCTCAGCGAAGAGGTCCTCTAGTGTCATTATATGGTTTTTTTTTAATGGTAAATGTTGGACTCTTTTTTTTTTTTCTTAGGTTGAAGTGAATTTTTCTTTGAATTATATGTTATCTATCTCATACTAACAAGAAATCTTTACTGGGTTTATCAGATTGGATACAAGGGCATTTATTTTATTTAGTTTAATGGAGTAGTTCTTATGAAAATTTATTGGAAGAAACCCACAAAATTGTATTATACGTGTTTTTTACCCATTGACTGCCGATCTACAGTATAAGGTATGATCTGGCAGTTGAATGCCGGTGTGCCGTATACAGTGTACAGCTTGCAAAGATTCCATTAGAGCATTCACAGTCAATGGGTTAACTTGTTGAAGGTTTTGTACTCCATTGTGTTTGATACATTTTCTTGTACAACGATTTATGATTAAATAAGTAAGTTAATCCTAAATTGTTGTTCTTAAGATGTGTATAATATTAAATGTCTTAAAGAAAAAGGTGAAAATAGGAAGTTTAGTCTTGCACGAAAACAATCAGTTAGTTTAATTACTTAGCCTAATGATTTGATATGCAAATTCCATTAAGTAGCCAGTTCTAAATTGCTACATGCCTACTTCTTATAGGTTTCTTTTGCCCAACCACACAGTTTTTGAAGGGTTAACAACAGATATACATTATATAGCTGTTTTTTCTTATCTGTTGCATAGTTGACTGTAATTTATTCGTCCAGTATTTTATTTCTCATTAAAAGAAAGTGAAGCAACAGTTGTAGATACTTTTTCAGAAATAAAGCTTCATAAATAATTTAATATAATAACCATGTAGTTAATTTCTGTGTGTACTATTCGGTATGTTTTTGTTATTCTCATGAAATGTGCCAGAACTGTTACACACAACATTTGATGCATCGTGCTAAAATTATCAAGTGAGAGTTTACTTTCCCACATGTTGTAAACTTAAAAACCATGAAAATAAATAAACTCTAATATATTTTACTAAGAAGTTTTGAGATCTTAAATGTATGTAGTCATTCCATTGTAGCTAATTCGGCTGTGCTATGATAAGTCGGCTGATTCTTGTTTACTTGTTTTACTACTCAGGATTTAATATAATATGTATCCTCTAAGAAGCAAGAAGTGTAACTCGAGTGATGAAGGTTGGGTAATGCAAGCTGAACAGATAAACCATCTGAAGGATTTCCCGTACATATACAACGCTTGTGCTGGTTCCGTACTTGAACTTTTATTTTTGCAGAGGTAAGTTGTTATTATTCAGAGTATAACTCATTTTAAACAAAAATATACACATTTTATTAGCATTGTTTATGATTATTTTAGACATCGGTAGTAACCCAAGAACCAAGAGAGTTCGTATAAATTATTTCAAGATTTGTCAGGAGAAACTTGTGATCAATTATTGGCCTCTACAGCTTCGTACGTAAACATTTATCAGGGGTTTGGGAAATATTTCTTGTTTGAGGAATAACATGCTAGAAAAATTGAATTGTCCCATCCTACAGAATACATACCAAAAAAAGTAGAACATAACTTTTAGGAACTTATTTAACAGCGATCATTTTAAAGAAATTCTAGGATTCGCACATTGAGAAAGCAAGATGAAAAGCACTGAGGTCCCGTAACCAATTTTGTTGTTTTCAGAAAATCAGCTTTTTTTCCCTGCATCTTTCACCATAAAAATGATGTGAAATAAAAAAAATGGCTTACTTATTAAATATAACCATTATATATTACTATATGAACACCTAACAAAAATCTAATGGTGCTACTATATATAGCGTGCGGTCTACCGAGACTTTTACACTTAGTTAAATAGACAGGTCGAGTCAGGTTAGGTGGGGTCTTCTATGATCCCTCTGGGGTAGGGGTCATAGAGTCAGGTAGGTCTTGGTAGACTACGGATACTGTGATAGACCGCATGGTATCGTAGCACCAATCTAACTTATCATTAATTTTAAACTTTACAAAATCAATTTAATTTTTAGACAGAAATGCTTTATATCCATTGGCCTTTCTAGTCAGGATGCTGCATAGCCATCAATACAGTGCGATTGGCAGCCTATTTTAGTAGGAACGGCACATACTACGTTTTTCCCCTATACTCTTTAAATATATATGTATTTTCATTCATATATTTTTTTATAGAATTTTACAGTACAGCATATAAATACACAATGCATGCATAGATAAAGAAAGAATCATTCCAATACAGTACACTAACTCTGCACGCAGATATAACTATTCTCGATTAGTGTTGCCCTCTATGTGGAAACCTTTTTTTTTTTCTTTACACAAGCCATGAACTCCCATGTACCCCATGATCAACAGGGTTCATCTGTGTCTTGCATGTAAACCATCATGCGACAACCCTCCACCAATAGGAGTGTGACACACCCTCTTGAGGCGCGTGACTGTTACTTCTAGTTAGGCAGTGATCGAGTGCAGACATTTTTCATTTCTGCTCTTTTTTTCACGTGTTCATTTCTTTTGTTTTGCAAAGAAGTGATTCACTTGATTTATTCAATTGCCACAATTAGTTTTTTCTGTTCTAATTTGTCATGATAACTTACCATTGGTTATTGATTTTTTTCTTTTTTTACTAGTTCAAAGTTTAAGAGGAATTCCAAAGTTTGTGTTTTAGAACTTCTGATATTATTACCACTATTTCGAATGTCATTACTGGCTTCAGGTCTGGGGGTCTCGATTAAAGATTTTTTAGGTCATCATTCATCGGGAGATTGATTATTATAAGAGGTGTCCTTTTTCTCCCCACAATGTTCGAGTTCTTCCTGCATTGTGTGAACAAGTTCATGACGAAGAGGATTTTGACAGCCATTTTTGCTCCTTCTATCTATGCTGAGCCTTCCCATGCATCTCCTATGAAATCTACTAGGCCTAACTCTGCCTTTTTAGATATGCTTTTACAGGTATGTTCTGCTTTCACCATTTTTATATGGTACTGTTCTTTCCTGTTTTACACGACTCTTGTAATTAGAGTCTCTTGTTTTCTTTACTTCCCCTGACATCAGTGTTCATCCTGAGCATTTCATTTCTCAGATGAGTGCTTATGTTAGCATGCCTTGTCCTCCATGGACTTCTCATCATTATGCTTTGGCTTATCAGCAAGCTGATCAATACTTTCTTGACTCCCAGCAGTTGGAGTCACTTTTGCCAATGTTCCTGATTATCCTATCCATTTCTCCTACATCCATTTTCCAACTTTGCCCTACCCTTACGGCTCTCCTGCAGTACTTGTCCAACATAAGTTTTTTCTTGAGGCATTCCACCAATCCCCTAAGGGGTTTTGGGGGATATACTTTCTCCTCTTATTCCTCCTTGGTGCTACTGTCCTTTTTGGTCCTGTCCCTTCACACGTGGTTCTGTTGCCGTTGGGATCTAATTGAGAAGGATGTGTGTTTTTTTCACAGGTTCATCTACCTTCCCCTTTTATTTGTGACTTCTGGATGGCTCTTTTTCTCCATCAGTTTGTTTTTGGAGATTTTCCAGTGTCTCTGGAATCATGCGTGGACTCTGTGAGTCCACATTCAACCCTTTAATCTTTGGTTACTAGTTTGTCTCATTCTGATACCATGACCTCCCCATAACTGTTTCTCATCCTGCAACCTCCTGTCGTATACAGTTCCTACCACTATGGGTTCAAAATTTTGCTGTATCTTGACATAGAGTTCATCATTTCCAGCAGTTACAGTGACTATCAGGTGGTTTCAGGTGTGGTGTGGGAATGTTTGGCTGGTTTTGTTCCTCTGTGTTGGTTACTCACTACCAATTTTTGGGTGATCCAAGTTTTGTTGGATCGTTTTTTCATCCTTTTTTCCCATACTAATTTCCGTCCCGTTAACTTGGGATCCAGATACCTGTCACGGTTTATCCAAGGTTGTGCTGACCCTTCTATCACAGAGAACTATCAAGCCTGTTAGACAACCTTCTCCAGGATTTTACTTTGGGTTTTTTTGTACCATGATCCATCTGTCCTGCCTCAATGAATATTCGGATATTTCCCTTGGAGTCCTTTATTGCACTCGGGTGTTTTTTTTTTTCTCCAGGACTTTGGATAATCAAGGTAGATGTCTCGATTGCCTGTCTTCATATTCATATTTCTCATCAGCCCAGATGCTGTCTTTGGTTTGTTCACTACAGGGTTGTGTATCAGTTTCACACCTGGTCTTTCAGGCTTGCTTCAGCATTGTGTACTTTATTGAGTGGTCTTGGCTTTTGCCCGACTTCTGTATGATGTAGGGTTGAGTTTACACCACCACATGGATGACTGACTCCCGTTATCTCATTCCAAACTGGAGTCTTCTCAACACACATATGCTGCTGACAGTAGCAGCTTGTGTTAGTTGGATTCTAAAATCGATGAAGTTTTATTTTGCTTACCCACTATCTTATCCACTTGGGTGTATACTTTTCATCACCCACCTCATTTGCACCCAACCTTCTCCACTTCTTCTCTGTTCGATAGTACTTTCAGTTTCCCATCCATTTACTGCTTCCCCGGTTTCTGCTTGAGAGGATCAATGTAAATATTCAAAAGAATTACAAAATATCAATTTTTTGTATATCAGATTGCGTTTTATGATGCCCAACAGTACAATGTCTATAGTTTTTATGAATAAGAAACTCAAATTATCAATATTGACAAGCTATGATATAAAAAAAAGAACCTCCTACCTTTTCTATTTGCTGAGATATTATAATTAGTGAAACTGCAGTCTACAGAAGAGTTCAAGGAATGAATTAGGCCTTTGTTGAAAAATGAAATAAATTTGTAATATATGTATATAGTTTCTTTCATACTTTTATTTTAGGTATGTCAAGTTTATTTCTCTGTTTCACTGTGTAAAAAAAATCACTTCTACAACTTAACATTTATTATATGATTTTAGACGACTAGTCCTACTTTGTCTGCCATAACAAGACTATTTTTTTTTTTATTTTTCAGATTTTGGATATGGTTAGCCAAATTTATCCCCATATGGGTTTCTCCTTGCCTGATCACGTGTGTAGGACTATCCATAAACGTTGCTTGCTGTTCTTTGGTGTTATATTTTAGTCCTGATATCAAGGAAGAGGTGTGTAGTTATATTTTTTAATCTAATTTTGCTAAGTCAATATATTACGATGGATTGAGATTAATTTAATTCCTTCCACTCAACTTCCATTGAGGGTTTAGGTTGCTAAGGGCATCAGTTGGGCTATAATCTAAAACATGTGACAAAAAGAAATGTTGTTATATAAGTAAAGCAGAGGTCATGTTAACACAAAATTTTGTATATCTTATGCAAAAACGTTCTGCCTGAGTAAAACAATTGTCAGGTGTACCATGCAAATGTTTTTTTTTTCTGTCTTCTTTCTAATTGTTACAAAGTTTTGAACACTAGCAAGTTTTCACCAGAGACAACAGATCTTTCAATCAGTACGGAAGGAAAGCTTTAGATCTAGTGTGCCGATTTTGCAACAGTGCCAACTAGTGCTGGGTGATACAAACGACTGATTACCTATGAGCATCAGTTATGTCAATTAGTAAAATTATTGATTAATGTCAGTTATGATTGAATAAATTAATATCCCGAAAATAATAAACTAATCAAAATTAGTGTTTCAAATTATTTACACAATCAAGTAGTTGAAACTTTGGAATTAGGGGTTTTTGATTATTTCAAGTAAAATACATGCAAGTTGAGATTTTATACATTGATGCCACCACAATAAAGCTAATGTTACTTAATTTATTCCTTATTGAGTTTCAAACCAGAATAATTAAAAGTTTTGTATAAAATAATACAAACATTATTACTCTTATTGGTGTTTTCATTATTTAATTATTAGTTTATTTGATTTACAGAAGATCTGTGTGGGGTTACTGTATATTTTAAAGACAAACAATGGCTGCCATGTGGTTATATTTAGTTAAAATTGGTGATTTACTTCCCATTCATATTAAAAGAAAAAACTTGTCTCGAACTAATTTTATTAGACAGAAAATATATAATTTGTAAAACTTCAGAGGGCGTCTGTCATATGGAACCAAAGGTAATTCAAAAATTACTTTAAAAATTAAAACAATGTGAAGAAATAAAGGAATATTAATAAAAACTTTTCTGGTACTGGGGAGGGGGTTGAGTAAGGGTGTAAGGGTTGAGTACTAATTGGTTAATTTAGGTGTACATACCACTATTCAACCAACCTTTTGTGACCCTCTCACCCATCCACTAAAAAGTGTGCATTAGACATTTTCTCTTGGTGACATTTGGGGAAAAACTGATCTTATGTAGGCCTCTTCTGCACACATTCCTGGTAGGGAACCCCTGCTGTAGATGTTGTTAGAAGATGTTATTATTGGAGGAAGTTGGGTGATATTGTACTCATAAAGATAAGTGTGAAATTCCTCTGTAAAAATTTGTGAAATTTCATTTGGCATTCATGCATCTTTTGTTATATATCAGTATTTTAATGATCTTACAAGAGAATTGTTACAGAAACTGTTAAGTTTCCAGTACTAAATAATAAACAGTTACAGTTACATATGTTATTTCTGTGATATATTTTGCTGATGATAAGTTGTCTCCATTAATACATATTCATTCTTCAATAATTAAGAAAGAGAAAATTATTTTGCATACCAAGAATTGAGGAGAGCATCTTAACAATCTTCTTCTTCTGTAGCTTTTTCCCGTATCTATACGAGGTCGCTATTTTTTGGTGTTGGCAGGGTTTTTACGGCCGGATGCCCTTCCTGACGCCAACCAT